GTGCGAAGTAAACTTAGAACGAATAAGCTGAGCGCAGAAATGTATTAAGGAAAGATGAATTATTGAGATGAGCAGGAATAAGTATGAAATATCTGCAATATGAGCTACCTCAGGTCATGAAAACATTTCACACTCCATACTGTTACAAATTGTATTCATCGAGCTTCCTGTGATTAATACGCTTGACTACGATTAGTATACCCTCAGAACAGATATATTTCAAAAGAGACCGAGCAGAAAATAAAAACAATTGGTCGTTCTAATAGCATCAAGAAAGAAAAAAAGGATTTGTTAAGTAAAAAGGATTCACGATGGCCAGGTATTGTATATTACGATATATCTTAAGAAATCTTTGTGAAGCAAGAAATGACAATTTACTATGTGGATAGTGAGAATGAAGGAGCAAAACCCAAAATGTTTTTTCAAAAATGAAAATTACATATATGTGTTCTATAATAAACTACATGATTCGATAATTATACTTTAAGAATCAAAAACAAGAATGATAACTTAAGGAAATAACTGAACTCATTCATTAACACAGTAAAGTCTTCATCGAAAAATGAAATTCCTTTACGATAGCTATATTGAAGTAAATATTTTATTCTGACTGATCTCACTGAAATCTATTGCACATTGGAATATTTAGATTTATTTACTGCAAGAAAAAGATTTTTATGTCCGAAACCTAATGAAATATGAAAATGAGATGATAAGATAAAATAAGTGGTTTATTGTTTTTGATTAAAACTATTTGTTTCAGAATTTTTGAAGGTTTTAGAAGTCTCATATTCATGATTCTCTTTTAGGCATAACCGAAAATTATTAAAAGTTTGCACTGAAAGAAGCGTTCACAAAAGGAAGATTTTAACTTCAATTTTTGATGAGAGATTACTGGAAAATTAAGCTGAACAATACTGATAAAGGTTGAAATTCAGAAAAATAGTTTTTCTGATAAAGGAATACTTCTGACTGAAGCTTTTTGAAATATTTTAATATTATTAATATTATGAGATATTTGAAGTTATTCAAACCAAACAACAATCACGTCATTTGGGATCAAGTCTAACCAAAACTACTTGGTCCCATATGTTCTTTTCAATGTGTTGTCATTCATCGATATTAGAAGTTAAAGAAATGGAAAACTGCGCAACTTAGATATTTCATATTTTCTTTTCACCCTTCTAGTATATGCATTACATAGAAAAAACAACGATGGTCAGAAATATGACTTGTTTTGAACACATCACAATTTATATATAACAATGTTAGAGAAGTTCTCGTCTAAATCGTCAATTCCTCTCTGTAATAAAAGCATTGCAGAAATAGACGAAGTCAGCCAAGAATGACTAAAGGAAGCTTTGTGGGACAATTATACCTAGCCATTTATAGGTACTTGTTGTCTAAAAGTGATATTCATTCAGGCAACTTTATTCTTATTACAAAGAAATTTTTCCTGAAAGCCATCCCTTGACCATTCCTCCTTTTCCTTTCCCTTTCTGTTTCTCTTCTTTCCATCGCCATCCTAATAAATACAGCAAAATTGGCATTATTTCAACCAGGCACTAGGGATGGCACGATGAAAATACTTTTTGCAAATGCTAAATGATGTTAATTCGAAAAATTTTTGGTAAAAATTGAGTAGTCAAGGAGAGATCACATAATAATCGGTTATTTCTAAAGCTTTTTTCCGAACAGAAGTAAAACCTGAATCCAAAAGAGGTTAGTTACGGGTTAAAATTAAACATAACTCAATTCATTTTACATCTGTGCAGGAAATGGGTCAAAGGATAGACGTCAGTTGTAAACTAGACAAAAATATTCACAGTTACTCGCAATAGGATGAGAAAATAATAGATCCCTCACATTCTTTCTTTTCAGTCTAAATTTAAGTATTCCTTTCTCATCGTCTTTTAAAAATCTCATCTCATGACTAGAAAGTCTAAGTGCTTAGCAATAAGATTAACATGTTTGGAAATTTCTGCAAACTTACATTTTCTATTTGGGAAGCGAAAACTTTCAAATCCTCTTTATGCTGACTGATAAAAGAGATTTTCTGTAGATTGGAAATCGAGTGTAATTTGAATAAAATCTAGATTTATTATAAGCTAATAATATTTCAAATCAAAATCATGAATAAGTAGACGGCCTAGAAACTGGAATGCTGAGAACTAGGTTTTTTTCACATTAAGTAAAAAATGAAATTCAAACCCAAGGAATTTTCCTTCAACCAAAACATCGGCTTCCTCAATTTTCACGAACAAAACTGGTGGTTTTGAAATTTATCAACAATCGAATTTATTGTGGTCAATACAGGAACCATTTTCTCAAAGCTCATATATGTACTTATCCTGTCTCCTCCGCCATCATAATAATAAAATGTGAATACAAATAAGGAATTGAATTAAATAAAACCAGGTTATGTCATGTTAAATATAATGGAATAAAGTTCAACCGACAAATTGAATTAAATGAAGTGGAATGAAACAAAAATGGAACGGTATTCTGTGTTGAATTCGAAAGTATAGCACAAAAAGTTATTAAATCACTAATTTCTCAGTTGGAAAAAGGCTTCAATTGGCATAGACCTCGGAAATTTCATTATTTTCTTTTTGTTCATAATTTTTTTTTTTTTGTTCATAATTAATAAAATCAAGTTTTTCTCACTAATATTGATTCGAGTCTTCCATTACTGAAATGGACTATTCATTTAGCAGAATTAAGAGAATAGCATCAATCTATTAGCTTACTGATATTGCTTTAATGAGGTAAGTCAACAATGTAATGTGAGAGAGTAACGTATAATATATACACCACGGACAGAGAAGCAAAATTTCGCGTAGCTTTTTAAGTCAATGGTAGACTTCTCAAAAAAGAAAGTTTATTTCCAGTAGATTTGAAATAGATTAAAAAATATTATAAAATATACGTTTATTTTCTAGAAAATATGACTTGGAAGGAAGGTAAGTAGTTGATTAGTGAGTGATCCTTCGTAAAAAAAATCATTTAAGCTTACTTCGAGTAACAGCTGTTTTAAAAAATAAGACCATGCAAATCGCTTTTGAAAATCGTGGAAATGTTGGAAACAAAAAAAAGCACAGAATCATTCGATTAGTTGTTTTGAATAATCAAACACAGGTCTTTTTCCCATCATGCTAACTTACCTCACTTAAAATTTGATTGAAATTCCGCAAACGCTATACTACTGTGCCAAAATGCGACATATATCTCGTTTTACTTATTGTTTACATGTTTAGTTCAATTGAAAACGGATAATACTTAGGTTATTTAGACTGATAATTATATTTGATTAAACTGACAATTATCTTTGAATTATATATACTATTATACAAACTGATTTATACCAAAAAAAAAAAAACTTAATTTGCTAACTTCTTAAGACTATAAATGGGAAAAGTTTTATGATCTTTTTACCGAAATTTTGAAGTACTGCATAACTATTTCATTTGCACATATTATCATCAATTTTCGCCCATTACACTAAAGGCTATCAAACCGCTAAAACTTAAAATAAGTAATGAACTCTTTCACATTATTTCAAATTAAAATACTGAATCAGTACATCATATTAAAAGTGGAAAAGAACGAGTAAAATCGTAGACACCAGGAAAAACTCATCCTGAGAAATGATGAAAAAAATCAAAGAAGCAGAGGAAAATAAGAATCCATTTCATGGAAAAACAAACAGAGAGAGAAAAAGGGTGCCACTTCAGATTAAAGAAGTAAATAAGTAGATAAATAAACATGTATATAAATGATTAAATGAAGTAAGTCAATTGAGTAAATTAATAATATGTTAATTAATTAAATAAATAAATTATTTATTTATATATATTAAATAAACATATTGTTAATTGGTAAAGATAGTAGGATATCGGTGAAAGCAAATAGGTGAAGATATTGCTTAAACACTTATAATGCTGTGAACTTGAGATTCGTTTTTGTTGTTGTCAGGTATCACCTACATTAAACAATGTATTCGACTACAGATGTGAATATTGAAAATGTTCGCAACACGAAAAGGAAAAAAAAGTATTTTCAGATTTTTGATTGCCTTGACCATTCTGTTCATAAATTGTTGTGTCATATTAATATCTGAAATAATTTCCTGAAATTCATTCATTACGTATGATAAATTCATATCAGGAGCTGGTAAAACAGAATGCGCCAAGAAACAGGGAAGATATATCCATGGAAGGAGGAAACTTCAGAGGCATTTAAGAGTATATAGAAATTAATATTTTCAGGGAGAAAGAAATCTTTCTGATTCTACTTTATGCATCACAAAGAATGACGAAAAATAAAACCCAGAATAAAGATGCAAGTTTGATGCCAAACTGCACATCACTGCTAATGGTGACTTTTAATTGTATCTCTCGCTGTCCTCCAATTTAGTCGTAAATGTTCAGACTTTTCGTAACCTAACCTATGACCCCTCTTCGCATCTGTTGCGGAAATATCTTGTCCTTTTTTAGGACTAATTAGTATTTGCCCGCTTCCTAACTCTTACCGTGGGCATCACATCCGTCTCCCGCAGTTCATTAATTCCCACTCGATGCTTCTTTTTTAAATGCATTAGTGAAATAGCTTTTAGCAGATGACAATAGAGAATGCAAAATGGAAGGGTTTTTAGTGTAGCAGATAGTGAGGAGATGCGAAGTGACACAACTGATGTTTTCAGTGGTTGTAGTAACGATTGGTGATGCTAGCGGTCAGTTTGAGGAGGGGATGTTGACAGTATTTTATAGAGCATGTCATATAGTGTAGTGAGTGAGTTGCTAGTGAATTAGATGTAATCTGTCAAGGAGATAGTACTTGCAGATGGTATTAGTTTGTGAAATGTTCTCTGTTATTAAATATATTTCAGAGCACATTCATATATGTAAAAATCTTTTGATTATTAATTGAAAAGCTTTCTGTTTGGCAATTTGCAGTATTTGTTGGAGACGCTTTAAAAAACTTATGTGTTTCGTGACATAATGGTATCGTCGCGTTCCGTGCTATTATGTGTACGTTCGATCCACACATCATGTCGCATGAACAGTAAGCTAACCTATGTTGTTATCATTATTAATCTTTTTACTCGTGTTTTTTCATTGTACAGCATTGGTATTTTATCCCAAGCAAGTGTCTTGCCATTCCCCTATCTTCATTTTCTAGAAAGAGGACCACTGACAATCGATGGTTGGTATCCACGTGATCACATGCCGGATGATTATCCAAAAAATGAGGAAGAGCGACGAGCAGCGGCGATAAAATATGGAATGAGGCTAGAAGATTACAAGTTAGTTCTGCTGTCATATGTTAGCTTTGCTATTATTGAGATAGAAATACCAATAGTAGATATTTTCAAATTTTCTACACTTAACTAAAGCTGGTAAATCATTATTATTCACTATTGTAAACAACAGAAATATCCGTCAAACAAAACAAAAAAAAAAAGGCTAAAAGAAGTAATTCAAAAGATTGAAGAAGTAGAAACAGGAAAAAAAGAAAAAGGCGAAGTAAGCCAAAAAAAATATCAATACACAAAAGGATATTACCAAAAAATACAGCCAACAAATAAGAAAAAGTTGCTTTTTATTTAATAACTTCAAAGTACCAAAAAGAGTCTGGAAAAAAAAAAAAAAAAAAAAGAAACAGGAGTTAATCTTATTAGTCCTACATAGCACTGCGAAGGCAAGTATATTATTATATTTAAAGTGATGTTTTGCTTCTTTTTTGCAGGCCGTATGACAAAGACGATTGCTATAAGTACGCAGGAAATTATCCAGATTATGGATGCGTTACATATGACCATAAGGATCCATATGAAAACTGGAGCGATCCACACTATCGAAGAAACTGGGGAGAAGGAGTAAGTTGCATTAGGCATGGTTGTTTACAAATTTTATTCACAAAAATATTGTTTACAATTTTTCTGTACGTATCCGAAAATGAATTAATTTAACACCAATTTTTAATGAAAAATCTAAATATTTCCATTTTATCTACTAACGTTATTTTGACATTAGTAATTGAATAGTATCATTTGAACTTCAAATCTGAAAAGCATTTTTGCTATCAGTGCTGGACCAACTGTCAGTGTTCTTGTGGGAAACTTGAATTGTCATATAATATTCTCAATGGATGAATGATTTGAGAATAGAAAGGTTTACATTACTACGAAGGTTTTCTGTGGAAAAATATTTTAACTTCACTACTTCAGATTTTTGAAAATTTCAGATGGACATCCAAGCGATAATGCACACATCTGATCGTGATTCCTACACCGGTATTGATGATGAGGAAACTTCAATTTAAGTGTAATTTCATCGAATCCTGAAAACTTTATTGTTGATGATAATGTTTTGAACTATAGGGCTTTTTATTTTCCATGTTCGAGCTATTAAAAACTATATAGTTTTTCTTTTAGATGGACCAATACGGTGATTTTCTGCCGTCACTTAATTCCAGCTTTAATTTTTTGCTGGATTGGTATTCAGACGTGGCCGAAAGGTCGAAAGTGGAAAAATGACATTGTAATATGTCTTGATTGTCACATATTTAATTAATAAAATTAAAAATTTGCACATTTAAAAGTGAAAGTTTAACTTTTCTTTTTATCAAAGAAAAAAATAGATCCTTTATAAGACTTCTTATAATGTTAGAACTCCGCATTTAGATGCTGAAGCAATATCCCTACGATATCAAGCGGGCGTATCCATTTACTGATCCACGTATCTATCCAATTACCAATTATACGTTTGAACCAAGAGATCAATAAAACGAAATTCGAAATATCTGGAATATTTCAGGATTCGAAGAAAATTACTACTCGATGAGAGTACTTCATAATGTATTACTGTTTAATTTGTAACATCTAAAAATATAGATTTTATTTTTCTCAAAATTTTGGTGTGAATGTGTCTATTAATAAAAGATTTATCGAAAAGTGTCACTTACTTTTTTTTGGTCTTACATCTGTTGATTTATTTTCACTCGTATCAATTGGAATCACAGGCAGTGTTGTCTATAGATCAATTTATGCTTTTGGTTAATATCTCAATCTTATTTCTCCACCTTTTAATATCCTTATATCTGTAATCATGCCTACGTCGTAACTATTTTGAAGTCTAATTAGGAATAGATGAGTAGGAAATATTAAATAGGCGTTTTTTAGTTTAAGAAATAAAGTACAGTTTACCTGGTAATTCCTTTTCTAAAATGTGAGGTTTTGCACATGATTTGATATCTGGTCCTTGCTTTTATGTAGTAGCAGTGAATTTATCTGACTTGTAGAATTTATTGAAAATTCAGGGTGTTGTACTGATTCTTGTTATTTAAATGAATCTATAAGCTTTTGGATGTTTGTCAATTTATGCGTGAATACTCGTAGGGCTGAATTAAAGTTATTCAACAAACAAAGCGGAAGAAAATGTTATATCTGGAGGATTTTCTGGAATGTAAGTTGCATACTTGGAATTTGAATTTCATCTTACTAGAAGTAGTGTAATTGGTGGTTCAGTTCTTTTATTACAGTACTTGATCAATTACCTGGTGAGTTGAGAGACAGAAGCACAGAAGTTCGAATGTTGGACCTGCAAGCGCAGCGTAAGTGACCAATAAATTCAGTCTTTATTTTTCATATATGCATTTCTAAATGATACCAAAGCCACTGATATATTGTTCTTGGTAAGATAAAGGTTGTGAGATTTATTGAACTATATTGCTTCTCAGAAAAAAATTTTTTTGTTATTTAATTTTTTGCACATTTTTAGTATTCGAAAAGTACATTTTATTCACAGTTGATGTCTGACATTTCTTTTCTGAACTGCAACGGGAATATAGAAGGGATTCTGTAATATTTCAAATTCAGTTTTTAGAATTGCACGAGCGCGCCAATAAAGAAAGAGATGAATTCTTCGCTACAGGTGGTACGCTTCCTCATGATGTTAAAGTAAAGCGCTACAATGAAATCTTAGAAGTGCGTTTTTAAATTACGTTTTACATTTGCTTGTATTTTTAAATTTATAATTACTGTACTGGAATACTTAAAATACATCTTGGATTGAAGTTTATTTTGTTTTAGAGCAGGTCTCAGATCTGTTTCCAAAATGTTGTTAGTTTCTCTTACTGAAATTAATTTGGATTTAAATATCAACCGGTAGTTCCAATTTTTTTTGCAGCTCTATGCGCAAGCGAAAGCTCTTTCGGATGAAAAAGTGGCAATCTTGGATGTTTGCCATTCACTTTTGCTGAAATATAGCCAAAAGTTGAACAAAGAAATATTGCATTTCAAACTGGAACTTGAAGCTGATAATCCTGGCATTACTGAACAAATTGAAAGAAGTAAACATTGAACTTTTCGTTTGCTCGTGAATCTAATGTCCTTGACATATTTATTTTCTGGAGCAGTGTTTAATTTATGAGTGTTTTTCAAATATGCATTCTACTTCGCTTAGCATGTCAATTTTGTGTTCGTTTCTTCCCTTATTTTCTTTAATGAGCGGTTGTTTATTTCAGAATTCAATGAGATAGAAAAAAATCTATTCCTTCAACGCAAAGAACGTAAGACTTCTGTTTCAAAAAATTTTTCAAAATGAACATTTTTCATGTTTGCAGGCAAAATTTTGAGAGACAGATGCTTCAATCTTATTTTAGGAAGACGCAGATATCGGGAAGTCAATGTCAATCTTGCGAATATGATAAACGGCAACTCAAATCCTTTGTCGGAAACATCGATCACTGGTTTGTTCTCTTTTAAACTTAGCGAATTTAAATTTCATGCGCAGACAAAGTTGATTTTAGGGCAGTTGAATGATACGTGTGAAATTGGATTGGATATGAGTACTCAGACTCAACAAACTGGAAGTCATTCATTACTTCCTACAGCGGGGGCACTCGATGTTGAACCTGGACCAAGTTGTAGTCGAGCTAACAATTCTATTAGTGATCGTGATTCTGATTTGCCCCCGCTGAAGGTAATCGTGGTGAGTTGAATAGAATAAATCCTGTTTGATACACTTGTCTACTTGCTCTTATAACCTTCATAAAGATTTTGAGTTATCATAAGGAATTTATATTGTATTACTCAATGAATTTAGATGTTGAGTTTGGAGGTTTTAGGAGCAAGTAACCGAATTTATACGGTGTTAATATTTCCATACATCCACTTTTAGCTTTACTGTTTATAGTTAATTTTGAATGGGAGTGGAAACATTTATTTTATAGATGGTCACATTCAGTAACAATAGTAGTATTTTATTGATATCTGTGCTGTATTGATTACTTTAATGTTTATTCTTGAATGTTTGCATCCATGATTGTCTTATCAGGTGGATAAAGAAGCTCTAAAACGAGTGGGAGATGAATTTAGAACTAAGACTTCGTATCTTGGATTTTGTATTGTGTTTCTTAGATTCTTGTAATCAATTTCTGTGTATTGTGAACAAGAAACATTTCTTCAACAAAATAAAAACTATATTTGAAGTTTTTAATTTGTTCAAAATTTTGTGGTACTAAATAAATGACAAAATTATAGCTCAAATATTGCGATTTCACTGTATATCTCATCATCTTGCTTCCTTATTGATTTGCAAACTGTAAAGCTGCTGAACACGCTAACAATTTACTTTCCCTAGTATGATGAGTGATTTAAGTAAATTATATGCATTAATAAAATCTCATTTTACAGAGACGCTCACTTGTCACTCCTCAAAAAATTATCGGTATCAGTAACGTTCATTCGCCTACTGCAGTACATGCTCAGTCTATAGCAGGCAGCACTTGTGATCGTGGTTGGTTATCTAAATTGTCGAAACGTCATTTATTTTCATCTTAGAACTGATATTATATGTTATGAGTTTTAGAGCTATAATGAGTTTTGGTCGAAAATCTCTATGATGTTTTCTATTAAGTTGGGCTTTCACCACTTCATATTTCTTACCACTAAAAGTTTTCAAAGTCTTGCATATTTAAAAAAAAATTTCATAGGTGATGATTGGAACAGTCCAAGTCAAACTCCATCTACTTCTTCGCAAGTACAGTTCTCAGTGCATCCTCCGAAAAGTTCAAATGTTAGTTTCAGAGAAATTAGTGATTTCACAAACTGTGTTTTTAATAAATTCTTTGATTTTCATTGAAATAAAAATGCTTTGAAAAAAGGGTTCATCTTGTAGTCACGTAATATTATTGTGCCTTCTTTACTTGATTGTTCCTAAAAAAGATTCTTTAGTTCCTTCTATCTTTTCTGAATTTTTTAATCTCTTCTTTTTTAAGTGATAGATACTTGTGATTTTTCATACTCATTAGGAAGTTGATAAAAGAAGGAATGAAGTGTAACACATCTCATATAATTATCTAATATTTTTGCAGGTTAAACTTAGGTTTAGTTAGATCTGACTGATCATTAATACTTCCGATTTCATGAAGTGTGCGCGCTTCACTCTAAGTAAGTCGTAATACTTAAGTTGCAAGATGAGAAACTCATATAGATTGAACAAGGTTCCTTTTTTTCGTTATTAGCTTTCTTCTGTTATTTTTCCTCTTTATTCTTATCAATTTGGAATTATAATAATTCATATGGTTGAATTATGGGATGATTTTTTGCTGCGAAATTTGCTTTATGTTAGTCTTTAAAATGTCAACCATTATAAAATTAAACAAATACAAAATATCGTTTTAGCCAAGTGTCTTTACCGCAACATCTGGACTTGCTTCAGGACAGTCAATGATGTCACTTGCTGTTCAGGAAAGTCGACACGGCCGTCCAAGAAAGTAGCTTTTTTTGCTGTATTAATTGTCATGGTACGCTTATACCTATAATCTTTAAAAACTGTTTTCGTGTTTTCATGTCATTATCCTTGATTCATCGATTTTTTCTAAAGCAATGTTTATACTTTAGGTTAACATCTAGAGCTCAAGAAATGCTATACACTATGCAACGCCATGAACGTCGTGCAACAAGTCTTACTTCTTGTTCACCCGAACTAATGCAAGGAAGCGACGATGAATCTGATTCAGACCGACGCGTATGGTGTTTCTGTCGCGAAGTAAGTTTCCATTTTTCTTTTGAATATAAGTATAAATTAAGAAGAAAACTTCTAAATTGCTACTTTTGCAGGAAAATTATGATCTGCACCCCTTACAATGGCATGGAGTAGTAAGTGGTTGTCTGAATCTTTATAAAATTTGAATTTGTATGAGAAATTGCGATTTTTTTTTTGTTGGAAAGGATAAACATAGCAAAAAGAAATAAAATAAAAATAAAATCTACTGCATAATAGGTTTTAAATAAAAAATTTCCTTTTTAAGAAATGGTT